TAGATTCTTTGGCAACATTACTATATCAAGATGTGTATGTTGTACCATACCTGAAGATGAAATAATTGAACACATCTTCAGCCAAGGAACTCTTGCTAAGACTATGTAGAAGAAGTATGGAGACCCTGCTAGCATTAAAATTAGCAACATGCCCCTCAGATTGATCTTGATGACCTAGTGGAAGAATCATAATAAAGTACAAAAACTCATTCTATCCACCCTTCCCAGTATCATATGTTGGAACCTGTGAAAGAACAGATGCAATGCAAAATATGGATCAAAGACCTCTTCCATAGCAAGGGCAATTTTTTCTAGCAATTCTGATGTACATTTGCCGCTATACACAAACTTTCCAGCTATTAACTAGCCTTATAAAAGGGTGAATCTATACTCAATCATTGAGAACATCAAACATCACACATCTACATAGCTGGTTAGATGGAATAGACCATCACTGAGTTTGTAATAGTTAACAATGATAGGAGTGCCTTAATCAATCCAAGGAAGATATGTGGTGGTTTTGTGATCTGGAATCACTTGGGAGAACTCATTCAAGCAATTGCATCCTCATTGGGTGAGGGCACCAATAACCTGGGAGAAACTAAAGCGGCCTTTATGGGCATCTAGTGGTGTCTATCTAATGGGTATAACAGAGTATATATGGAGGCCGACTTTGAGTTATGATCAATTGGTTAACAAGCAACAAGGAGCCTCCCCGGACCATCAAGATGAATATGCAGAAACTGAAATCCCTCTGTCATCAGTGTGTGGAGATCACATACTCTCATGTGTATAGAGAGGCCAATGCCCCTGCTGATTCCCTATCCAAAATTAGTCATAGCCTTAGTACGATAACATACTTCTCCAGCATTCCTAAATTACCTCCCCACATCAGAGGTCAGCTTCAACAAGATTTCCTGGGCAACCCTGCCTTCAGACATAGGAAAATCCAAAGAGTCATTATTCAATCATACCTGGCTCAACCACTTCTCATGGTTATGGTTGATAAAAACAAGCTAAGGGGAGTATATATACGAGTCCAAATGATCATCATGTTTTGCTACCATAACCACAGAAACATGAATGGTGGTCCAGATGATAAGGCCACCATAAGAGCAAACCAAAGGCAACAACAATGGATAGTCTGTTTTACACTAACTTGTTTGTTACTCTGTGCAAAAGGACACACTCATAGCATTGATAGACCTCCAAGGTGTGGTATTAGCACCTGGAATGCTCAGTCTCTTGGAGGTGTACCAACACTATAAAGAGTGCTGGTCTAGGAAGCACTCATATAAAGTTAATAGCCAGTGCTGACAACAAAAGTTCCCATACCACCACCCAACAACCTCCCCCCCCCCCCTTCAAATATGGTTAAATCATCAGCAAAACCTTCCAACATTGATAATCCATTTCAACATTACCACAAATCTACTAAAGTACCCAACCTCACAGTCAACACCCCAAAGCCCACACCAAATCTCAGAACCCTTCTCCAAAACCCAAGACACCAGACCAAACCTTACACAACCAGCACACATATAGATTTCAAAACCCACAAGAACCTGAGATTAGGCCTTCACATAAACTTCAGAATCCACAAGAACCGGAGATAGGGACCACACAAGAAGATCTGGTTTTTCACTAATACAACGTTCTTTTTGCAAGTACTTATCTATATGTCATGCTCAGCCAATTGACCTACCTTCAGTGTGTGGTATTAGTACACTTTGTACTCACTCTACTGAGAGCACTCCAATGGTTTAAAGCATGATCTAGTCTGACCACCTCAAATAGACAACCACAAACCATAAGCTTCACACCTTACCGTAAATTTACCAGCCTTCCATGTTCTTTCCTGTCATATGGAGGAAATAACCTGGCAACAACTAGAGCTGGAATTACTCAACTAAGCCTTCATAGCAAGAAATCAAACATGCAGAACTCTGCATTTCACCATTTCAGCACCATCACATGCTGCAGGCTACCAGCAATCCAGTGTCCATCATTTGGATCTCAACACTTCTGCAGCAGTTTCAAAATCAATCGATACCAATAGATATCACCATCAACATGTCCCTTTAGTGCTCACTAGTTTGTTTCATTTTGCAGGTACTCTGAAGAGTGAAATATCCTTACCATTGAGATGCTCTTAGAGTGTGGTATTAACACCAGTAGTTTTCAATCTACTGAGAGCATGTCAAAGGTTAAAGGCATGCCAACTCCTGATGTGCTTGTATCTAACAGACGCATTGCAGGACACACCCAGGGGCTCAAACCTAGATGCCCTGTCATATTTTTTCCTCGACACCCAGATGCAGATGCTCACATACTGCAGCAGCTTCCTATTGAGAGATGTTGTGTGTAAAAGCTCCTACATTGTTTTTCAGAAAGCTACCACTTCAACCTGCCTGATTCAATTTTTGGATGCAAGCAACTGACCAGTGCTTAGTCTCTTATGTCAAAAACATCATACAGATGCAGCAACCTCACCTATCTATATGGGTTCTTTTGACGACTATCTTCAATTTGGCTTTCTTTGGACACATTGTCAAAGCAAAATTGAGAATCGCTCTCTGAAATTAGTGATATTTTTAAGCAAAACCCATGATGGTAGGTTGTGGTTTTTACTCCCTTGAGTAGACAAGTTTCCATGTAGAATTGTTTGTGCACTTTAATTTTCGTACTTTATTTTTAGTTTTGTGTTAGAATAGTTAAGTCAAAGAATCAGGTTCTTTGACATGCAAAAATTAAGTAAGACGCAATTTATTCCGTCTTGTATCTAGGTGCATCCTAAAATAACAGTATTTGTGGGTGCAATAGCGTTAGACATAAGTACTAGATCAGTGGCACAAACACCTGCCAAACTTTGACTAATACTACGAGTTTTGGAGACATTGACGGGGTTCTTAATTATGCTGTTTTGATCACGTAATTGCATCAACTTAAGTAATCCCCCATTTTCAGTTCAGGTATTATTTCCAAGGAAAACTATTCTCTTAGCATTTTCATTTTATTTTCTTTTGTCATGTTATTATCATCTAGTACTACAGCTGACACTAGTATTCTGCTTGGTGCATTTTCAGCATAATAAGTAACTGGGAGAAAAACTATATCTCATTACTCCTCGTATTTTGCTAATTTTATTCGATCAATGTGATGAGTAAGAAAGAAACATTGAAATTATTACTTTGTTGGCCTCATTAAACTAGTACATATGGAGCACCCTATATATATATATATATGTATGTATATATATATATATATATATATATGTATATATACATATATATATATATATACATATATACATATATATATGTATATATATATATATATATATATATATATATTTGTTAAAGTAGTTCGAATTTAAATCTCAAAGAGGAGCGAATATCATAGACAATCAAGAACATAGCACTAATCATAAGTTATAATTGAATGAAAATTGATAAGTCATGAAATATTGCGATGTTAGAAGCTCCACAAAATATGCGGGGAATAAGCTTTACTTTTAAGCATTTTTAGTTCACAAGTAATTACATTCAAAGGGCGAGGTACTTATAATTTCAAAGCTAATTCCAAATAAGCAAAACTGTTTAAAATAAATAAATAAATAAATAAATAAATAATCAAATATTGCTGGACAAAACGAGGTCGCCTTGATTTCGTGCCTAAATAATTAATAGACCCATATATGATCAGATGTCATGCGCTAATATACAACATTAATTTTTAACTGGTCAAAGACATAAATAAGAATATTTCCAGGTATTTTCAACGATTTTTATGTTTATCGAAATCATAGAGAATAATCAAAATAGTTTTTTTTTCCCTTGACTCGTTTAACAGTTGTAATATTATGTCATTGGAGTAATAAGACTAAATTCTCAACTCAAAACTTTCAGCTAAGTTGTATGATTAAATTATAATTTTGGCGGCCAAATGGATAAAAATAATTTGTAAAGGGTAAGTAATACTATCTAAAAGTTATTGATTCAAATGTTTCAAGTATATAAAAATAGACTCTTTACAGGTAAGCGAGTTAATTACTACGACATCAGTTAAGAATTCGACACGTAGCAGTTAGAGGACCCGTTTACACATCAGCTCTAAAGATTTCCCACTTACCGAACACCTACCACCAAAAATCATTTCTTCATCTGAAAACTAAACAAAATCATGAATTCAACATTTTGTCCAGATTGTACATGAAAAATATTTTAAATAAAAATGCTCAAAATATTTACTCCAATTAAAATCTCTAATTAATCAGAAACTTGTTGAACTTGCAGTGTAGGGTCTCAGAGCATATTCCTGGAAGAAAGAAAGGATTCAGAGACACAGAAGAAAAAGGGGATGTTTCTATTTTCTTTTTCGGGTTTTTCTTGCAGTCCCATTGGATGGCTGGTAGAAGTTTTTAGATCAAAATAACAATGTAAAAAGCAAATCTTGACTGACTATAAATGACAAAAAAAAAAAAAAAAATACAAAAACACAATAATTTAACTTGATTCGATGAATTAAGTTATATCTATGGGTAGAAATGAACAATCCAAATTCAAAAGAGAGTACAAAAACATCCGAACAATAATCTCATAAAATTAGATTCACGGGAGTAGCTATCTCATAAATGTTCTCCCTAAACAAAAAGTTGTCCAATGCACAAAGCATCCCACAATTATACAGGGTCCGAAAAAGGATTGCACCTCAAGGACATGTGACGTAGGCAGCCAACTTTAATGCAAGCAACAGTGACTGATTTCGTGACTAGAACCCGTAACCTATAGATCATAACTTTACCGTTGCAGCAAAGCTCCCCTTCAAATTTTCTCCCTACACAAAACTCGGTAATCCCCTAATCTTATATTTTGACACAATTTTTTTTAGCACGTTCCAATGTCGAACTTTGTTCACACGTATAATAACAAAGTACAGGGACATTTTGTGTATTAACTCTTATGTAAGAAAAATGTACGAGTAGTGTTGTGCTTAGTATAGTTATGTCTATATATACATAATAGATATGTATCTATTATTGCATGTATGTATAAAAAGATAGATACAAAGAAAGGTCTGAGAACAAAAAGGGGTTTTGTGCTTTTGTGAGTTAGAGTTGTTGGGAAGAGAAGAAAAAAAAATGGGAAGGGGTAGGGTTGAGCTTAAGAGAATAGAGAACAAGATCAACAGGCAAGTGACCTTCGCTAAGAGAAGAAATGGACTCTTGAAAAAAGCTTATGAGCTTTCTGTTCTTTGTGATGCTGAGGTTGCTCTCATCATCTTCTCCAATAGGGGGAAACTGTACGAGTTCTGCAGTAGCTCTAGGTATATATTTTTACAAGACAAGAAACAAAATATAAATATAATACGTATAGATATCTATATCTATGTTAGTCCTTTTTTCTCTGTGTTGTTGTTTTTAGATCTAAATAAGTATAGGAGATTTTATGATAAAAGTATTTCTCTTTTTTTCTTTGTGTAGAGTGTATTTACCATTTTTGTGAATGTTTTGGAGTGTATAGGACTTTGTGCTTGTGGGTGTTGTTAGATCTGCAAGAGGAAACCATGAAAAGAAGATAAAATTTCTATATCTATGTTGATTTTCTGTGTTGAGGGGTTGTGGTTTCTTGCTAGCTAGTCTCCTCCATTTTATGTTCTTTCTACTCATTTTGATTGGCTTTCTTATTTCCCCTTTGACCTCGTAAACCAAATTAAATAGTGCTCTTTGTAGCGAAAATGGTCTGATCTATTGCCTGTTAATAATAATATCTATAAAGCTCTTGAGCTATTTACAGTTTCTTCTGATAGATCTTTTACCATTTTCTTTACCTTCAAATTAAAGAAGCATTTCTTGAAACTTATTCTGCTAAAATTTTAATCGTTGAGGCTGTTGTTGGTAAAAGCTATTTCTTTGAAAATATTCCACTAATAAATTTAGGGTTCACTGTTAAATGCATCAATATAGCTTTTGGATCGTGTTGGTCACAAAGTTCATACCTTTAGGGTTTTTTTCAACCCTAATTTTTTCTTTTATCTGAACTTGTTTCAAATTTTTGTTCTGATCATTTACTCTTGATGGAAAATCTTCAAGCTTGGATTCTCCTCCTCCTCCTCTTCTTCTTCTTCTTCTTTATGCTTTTTAGTTTTTTTTTTTTAAAAGCCATTTGGTTCGCTGGTTACTCCGGAGCTCTTTGATGGACAGCCCTTCAAAAATCAAGATATTGGAATCTCTCTCTCTCTCTCTGATCTCTCGTCTTAATTAAGAGAATTTGACTTGATATTAATTATCAACTTAATTATTTATCTAGATTGTCGATCTCTAAGTCTTCATTTTTTTTTTTTTTTTGCTAGGATGAAACAATCTACTATCCAGTCACACTGAAAGTCTTTTGGTTTATTTCCTAATCTTTCAGAAAATCTTTCAAACTTGATTTTACATAATTACTATAGGATAGAGAGAGGGAAAGGAAAAGTGACGGCTACGCCTATAACAAGTCTGAGATTTGGACATTTGGTTGTGTTTAAATCTGTGTAAGAATGCAAAAAAAAAACTTTTCAGATTTTTAAAAAGACGAAAAAATATAGATCTATTATTAACTTGATAATGAAATCATATATATTTGCTTTGGGATTATCTAATTATGTTGTAAACTGAAGCATCATAAGCTTGTGACAATGAAACAGCATGCTCAAGACATTAGAGAGGTACCAGAAGTGCAACTACGGAGCACCAGAGACCAATATATCCACACGAGAAGCACTGGTAAATGTTTATCTTCCAACTATTTCTTCTCTAATTAGTGAGTATACTTGCTATTAGGACATAATTACGGTTGTTCATTTCAAGAAAGTTTCCATCTCTATATGCTAGAATGGTTAAAAAAAACACTATAGGTTGAGTAGCAATTATTATCGAGGAAAATAACAATCCAACTTCCTTCCCCTTGATTGCTATACACTATAGTTTATAGTTTTGCAAAGGTTAGTGAATAGTTCAAGAACAGAAAGACATTGTAATGTGAAGGGAATGAAAACTGGGTATATCCTTCAAAGTTTTCATTATTTTGAAACCAAACATAGGGTTTAAAATAACGAAGCGATAAAGAAAAGATTTGTTCCATCCAAGTCAACAAAAAAGTGCTAGCTGTTTAAGGATATATCCCTATCCATTGTGTGTTTTGTTGAGTCCCACATCGACAATGAAGGGGATGGATGGTCTCCTTATATGGACTTAGTCAATCCTCACCTCTTGAGCTAGCTTTTGGGGTTGAGTTAGATCCAATGTCAATTTAACATGGTATCAGAGCAAGACCCATCCCGATTTTCCGATGTTGGACCCCCATAATTGTCCTCGCTCCAGATGTCCAATCCACTCAGCCCAAAATCATATTCCTTCCATCCCAATTTATGTGATACCAATTGACAGACACTAAGTTTAAAAAAAAAAAAAAAAGTTTTGAGACTTGTAATCTAAAAATTAAGCCTTAAATATTTGTGTGATTATACATTATTTATTAAGGATAAAATGAAAAGTTTTTGAAGTTAAATTGCTTCTAAACATAAAAAGGTGATATTCGTCGTAATATACTAAAAGAAAAGTCTGTTACTTAAATTGAGACAAAGGGAGTAACAAAAATAAGGCAACACATTGGAGCACTTAGACTCAAGGGAATAAATGAAGAAGTTTTTAATTTGTGAAGTCATTTGGATGGACAAAAATCAACCTTTTTATAGTGAAAAACTGCTACCTGAGCATTTGAGATTTTGATTTACATAAAAGTTTTTAAAGAGGAAGATAAGGATAGATGATAAATTTAACACAATATTTTTTAACTACATTATATCCTATCTTCCTATATAAATTGTTGTAATCCTAGCGCCGCTCACTTGTACATGTATATTAAGAGATATATAACCTAAGTTAGCAGTATATTTTCTCATGTTCTTATGAGTTCTGTTATAGTATCAGAGCCATTGTTTTGCTCTTCCCCTTCACCAAGCATGCATGTCAAAGCACACAAAGAAATCCCCCATATACTCCTTCCTCGTTACCCTTATTCCATTTATCATTCGGACATATGTTAATTATGCTCACCACTTTATTTTTATAAAATTGAACTAACATCTACCAATTTAGTTGCCCTCCCTCGCTCGTCGAAATTGATGGAGGTGATGAATTTCAACCTAACCCTGAGTATGATCATCACTCGATCCAACAAGACCAACTAATCATGAGTCTTCTTATCTCTTCATTATCTGAACAAGTCCTACCTTTTTAATGGGAATAATTAGAAGAAATATCGTATCATAACATGAATAATCTAGTGACTTGAATTTTGTAGGTGCTAGCTAGTCGCTAGAGAGTGTGTTCTAGAGACATTGTTGGAATTCTTCAACAATTTTTAAAAATTGGGAATTACAAAACACAAAGAAATTGACAAAAACAAGGTATAGAAAACCTCACAGATGATAAATATTTGATAGAACTATTAGCACTTCAAAAACTTGACTTGCAGTTTATATATAAGCCAATAAAAAAAATAATAAAGCATTTTGTTTTCTGGATTGCGCGATGTGAAATTAGTCTCTTTATACAGTATTTGGCAACCTTACCTAATGGCTAATAAGCTAACTTTCGAGGTGAAGTTAGAGCCAAGGTCCATTTTATCCGTTGAATTCTTATAGTGATAATATTTTAATCTGGTAGACCAATTTATTATTGCGAATGGTTACAGGAAATAAGTAGCCAACAAGAGTACTTGAAGCTTAAAGCACGTTACGAAGCATTACAGCGATCACAGAGGTATATATATAACAATAGTATTGAGAAGAAAGCTTCATTTATGAAATGTGTTTTAGCTAAAAGAACACTTTCTGATGTTGTGTCAATAGGAATCTTCTTGGTGAAGATCTTGGCCCTTTGAATAGCAAGGAACTTGAATCACTTGAGAGGCAGCTTGATATGTCACTGAAACAGATTCGATCAACTCGGGTAAATTTGACATATAGCTAATCAATAATTTTAGTACTAAACACTTGCACTGACCACTAGTCTCAAATTTTCCAGACTCAATTAATGTTGGATCAACTTACAGATCTTCAGAGAAAGGTACATAAGTTTATTTTGATAATTCCTGACTAGTAATAAGAATCATTGTGTTTTCCTAGCTACTTAAAATCATCATTATATGGCGACGATCTTCCATGTGGCAGGAACATGCATTAAACGAAGCAAACAGAACCTTGAAACAAAGGGTAAGTGCAATTTCCCTTCTTTAATTTCCCCCTTCCTTTTGGTAGCGCAATTACTACTGAATTGTTGCTACAGCTTCAAACAAATGTGAGTGCATGTCGTCTGTGTTGGAGGCAAACGACGAGAAAGGAATAGTTTAATTTCTAATCTTATAACTAACGTAGGTTACTTGTTGCATGTTAAATACATTAGTAGTTTAAAAGCATTGTACAATCAATGTATGTAAATTAAATTCAAGAATTGATTGCGATGTCTTACTTATTGATCCCATCACTCAAACTCTCACTGGAAGTGACGAGATCACCAACAGTACCAATAATTAACATCTCTTTCTGTTAGTCATAGTTGTTTCATGAGAATATTATATGCAGTTGTGTATATATATATATATATATATATTCACTAGGGTTTGGAATGGTTTAATTTGCAGTTGATGGAAGGAAGCCAACTAAATCTGCAGTGGCAGCAAAATGCACAAGATGTGGGCTACGGCCGGCAGACAACTCAAACTCAGGGCGATGGCTTTTTTCATCCTTTGGAATGTGAACCCACTTTGCAAATTGGGTACGTTCTGATCAATATTTTGGATGATATCCTTCTTTTTTCTTGCTTTTTAAAAGCATTCATGGGGCAGTTTGACTGCCATAAAGATTAAGAGGTAAATATTCAATATTTTGCTGATTAGTGAGATTAAAAGTACTTCCTCCGTTCCAATTTATGTGAATCTGTTTGACTGGGTACGGAATTAAAATAAATAAGACTTTTGAAATTTGTGGTTCTAAATAAATTAAAAAGGGGTCCAGAATATTTGTGTGATTATAAAAGCTTCTCATTAAGGGTAGAATTGGAAGTTTAAGTTAAATTGTTTTCAGATTTAAAAAGGGGTCATTATTTTTGGAACGGACCAAAAAGTAAATAGGTTCACATAAAGTGGAACGGAAGGAGTACCTAGTAAAATTGTGATATATTTAGTTGAAAAGTTGACCTCGCAGAGCGTAATTATGTTCGCTATGTATGCTATACAATCTATCATATGTGTGAATATTTCATCCGAATCCTTCAAATTATACCAAAAAATTATTACTATTGTACAAAATATTCCACTCATATTTGAGGACATGTAACATATATAGAGTAATTGTTACGTCTATTTGGCTGCATTTACAACTGATTTAAAGTAAATGAAAATTCGTTACTTGACCTAAATTATCTATTGCGATACTTACATTTATTTTTTCAAATATTGGCAGGTATCAGAATGATCCAATAACAGTAGGAGGAGCAGGGCCTAGTGTGAATAACTACATGGCTGGCTGGTTGCCTTGAAATTAAGCTCATTTCTGATAAGATTGATTATATAAACATATGCTCAATGTTTTTCCTGTCATAAACACTCTCCTAATTTGTGTTATATGTTGTTTGCCGAATTCTGGACTAATTTGGGATCCATAAGACAGACCCGTTATTGTTACTTAATCATAAACTAGATTTCCCTTAGTGCTTAATCACTAAAGGTTATTACTTTCCTCCATTTTCTTTTGGTCAGTGTCAAACTCAGTCTGTATAGTTTCACTTTAATACTACATCTTAAGGTCTTGGCTCCCATGCCCCTTTTTCTGAGTGTCTCCAAAACTGGATATGAGTGCTTTCTGTAGGGAAATTTCCACTCATTAATTCCTCTAATATCCTTAACGCATTATAGAGGTTTAAAAGAGGGCTTAGAAACTCTTAGCTTTATCACTAATCTCTATTTTTGAGACTTATATTATGTCAACTTTTATTGAGTCTTTAAATTGTTTGATACCCGTTATGCCTGATAAAATATGGAGCTCTGCATACCTAGAAGCTTATGAAGATGATCATTATTGATTATATTTATTATTATCAGTATTACCAGCTTCCTTCAAATCGTAAGTTCTAAAGTCCCAAAACTATATTGGGAAACAAGCTTACATGCAGTGCACGGGCCCTTTTTTAATTTCATTTCACGCTTTGGGCCTAATAGTAAATGGGAGTTAGCTGTGATGAAGTACATTATTGTTGTGAAAGAAGTCAGCTAGTGAAAATTGTCGTAGCTCTGTGACACCAGATAAAGCAATTTTTCGTTTTAATACTGAAATACAATTGTTTCTTCAATTGTGCATGATGAATTTTTGGACCTAGTTCAGAATAAAGTTGGTCTTCTTTGGCATTTAACCGATGTTATTATTTTAACGTTTCCACCATGAGGGCTATATTTATTGGAGAGAGATCGATGTAGAACATTTTATGTTTGATTCAAAGTCCATGGTGGAAAGTTTAGGCTTTTTAAAAATCTTAACAAATTTTTATTGGGAAAAAAACAGCACACTACTCTTTACAACTTTTCCTAGCCCTAAAAGTTAGTTTATAAAAAAATAACCATAAAATATTATATCAATACCAATTAGGATCAAATAAAAATCCATGTATAATAGACAATAGGGCAAAATATTCGCTCCCTACAGTTACTACATGGATACTTGTAACTACCCAGCTGGTCGATTTGGGTATTTGAGGTTGGCTGGTTTGTCTTTGAGAAGGTTCGGGAGTGAATTGGAACACTTAGGCCTCATTTGTTTGCACTTAATGGAGGCCTGAATCTTAATCATTCAAATCTCATACATTAAGTGCGTATGTTTTTAAAGTCTGAATCTTAATTATACTGATCTTAATCATTAAGTGTGTTTAGTTTTAATTTTTACTTCAAAACCACTTAATGGGTCTGAATAAGTCTGTATGATTAAGATCTATAACAGAGACTTAATTTCATTAAGAGGCTATCACATGTTCATTATTAACTGCCGTCACCGCCTACCATTATCAACTACCACCATGCCACCACAATCACCATACTTAACCACCACCACCACCACGCCACCATCATTCTCAATCATAGCCGCCACCATTATCGACTATCATCACCCACTATTCCCACCATTCCGACCACCATCATTCTCACCCACAATCAACACTCATCCACCTCAACTACCACAACTAACCATCCCATCACCATCAACAACCACAGCCGGCATTTCCCATTATTATAACCTACCACCACCCGGCATTATTAAATATCACTACCCACCACTACTATCCTCAATCATAATCGCCACCACTACTAATCACTACTAACTACTACCATGAACCACCTTCACCAACCAAAACTACCACTAACCAGCGCCTCTAGTCGGCATTCACCCGTTAGCCATCACCACCAACAACTATCATATTTTTAAAAACTATATATTTTATTGGTAGAATATTGGATTAGTTAGTATTTCATTTGAACTTTATGTTTATTAATTTTCAAATAAAGATAAATTATATACATTCAGATGTTAAAAATCAAACAGTCTTAATTATTTAGTATTCAGATCTTAATATATTTAGATGTGTATTCAGATTCAGATGTCTTAATCTTAATACACATCTTGATATTCAGATTCGGACGTCTTAATCTTAAAAAATACACATGAGGCCTTAGTATCATTTTGGAAGCTTAAGTTGTAAGAGTTGACCAAGGTTTGACTTTTGTATAAGCGACATCAGAATGGTGTCTTGATGGTTCCAATAGGTTCGTATGGTGATTTTGGACTTAGGCGTAAGTCCGAATTTGGATTTGAAGGTTCATAGATTAATATCGCTCTATTTGGTGAAAGTTGGAAATTTGAAGGTTTGGAAGGTTAATTAGTTCGACTGGGAGTTGACTTTGATATTATCGGGTTTGATTTGTTACTCCGGGAGTTAGAATAAGTTCGTTATGTTATTTGAAACTTGTGTGAAAAGTTTGGGCTTAATCCGGATTGGTTAGGCTTGAATCAGACGTTTGGTTTGAAGTTTGGAATATGATGAACTTAAGAGAAGCTTAACATGTGTTTTGGCTGTTGATTCTTGGTTTTGATGTTAGTCATGGTGTTTGGAGCATTTAGACAAGTTTGGATAAGGTATTGAAACTTGTTAGTATAATTGGATGGGGTCTCCTGGGGGACTTGCGTGTATTTCCGAATAGTTTCAGACCATTTCCATGTGTTTTGGACATCAAATCTTTGCTGGTGTCTGATGTCCTTTGTGTTTGTGTCGGAGTATCGTGGTCACAATGAAGGTTTTGGGCACTGGGGGATTCTTATTCTTCGCATTCGTGGAGGGGCAGCCGCGTTCACAGAGGGGCAGCCGCTTTCGTGAAGAAGGAGGTTGAGCTGGGCAATAGCCTTTGCATTCGCGAGGCTGCAGGACGCGTTTGTGAGGCTGCAGGGCGCGTTCGCGAATAAGAGGAGGCCTTTGGCCTTGGCATTCGCATGACCTCTTTGGCGTTCGCGAACGTGGTTTTCCTGGGCTATGATTTTGTACTTTGCGAAAGCGAGGCACGTGCTCCTTCAGCCCAGGGTTCTTCCAGTGGGTACTCAGGTTATTAGAGGCAGCCTCATATTCAGCATCAATTCTTAGCTCGAGGTTGTTTTGAGTGTGGAGAGTTAGGGCTTATCAAGAGAGATTTCCTCAGACATGGTAGAGGCGCATCACAATAGGATTCTCAGGCAGTAACTCCAGTTCAGTTTCTACACCACCAGCCCCACCAACTAGAAGGGGAGCTCAGGCATTCAGGGGATGCCCGAAAGGTAGAGGTCAGTCGCGGGAGGTTAGGCCCACTGTTACTCATTTCAAGGTAGTCCCGAGGCGGAGGCCTCTGATGTGGTTATCATAGGTATTATTTCGATCTGTCTGAGATGCATCTGTTCTATTTGATCTTGGTTCTACATATTCCTATGTTTAATCGTACTTTGCGTCATATTTGGATTTGCCCCATAGTTCTCATGATATTCCCGTTCATGTATCTACACCTGCGAATGACTCTATTTTGGTGGATCATGTGCATCGATATTGTTTGGTTACTATTGGGGGATATAAGACTAGTGTTGACCTCTTATTGCTTAGTATGGTGGATTTTAATGTGATCTTGGGTATGGATTGGTTATCATGTATCATGCTATTCTTGATTGTTGCACTAAGACCGTGACGTTGGCTATGCCGGGGTTGCAAAGGTTGGAATGGAAAGATTCTCTTGGGTATACTTCTAGTAGGATGGTTTCATTTATGAAGGCTCAATGGATGGTTGAGAATGGGTGTTTGGCGTACTTAGCCTTTGTGAGAGATGTTAGTGTTGATAGCCCTACTGTTGAGTCAGCCCCAGTAGTGAGGGAGTTTCTAGATGTATTTCTAGCAGACGTACCAGGCATGTCACCCGATAGGGATATTGACTATGGTATTGACTTGGTGTCGGGCACTCAGACCATATCTATTCCACTATGACTATGGCTCTAGTAGAGTTGAAGGAATTGAAAGAACAATTGTAAGAGTTGTTGGATAAGGGGTTCATCAGGCCTAGCGTTTCACCTTGGGGTGCGCCAGTGTTATTTTTTAAAAAGTCTATGAGAATGTGTATTGACTATCGACAGTTCAACAAGGTGACCGTCAAGAACAAGTATCCATTTCCTCACATTGATGACTTATTTTACCAACTTCAAGGTGCTAGGGTGTTCTCGAACATTTATTTGAGATCAGGGTATCAACAGTCGAAGATCAGGACTTCGGACGTTTCCCAATACGGCTTTCAGAACTCGTTGTGGGCATTGTGAGTTTTTGATGTCTTTTGGTCCGACTAATGCCCTAGCATCCTTCATGCATTTGATGAATAATATATTCCAGCCTTATTTGGATTCTTTTGTCATTGTGTTCATTGATGATATCTTGGTCTATTCTCATAGTGTTGTGGAGCACGAGCATCATTTGAGGACTGTGCTTCAGATTTTGAGGGAGAAGAAGTTGTATGCTAAGTTCTAAAAGTGTGAGTTTTCACTAGAATCAGTGGCATACTTAGGCAACATGGTATTTAGTAATGCAATATTGAAGCAGTTCAAAGTTGGCCCAAGCCTTCCACTGTAACTAAGATCCAAAGTTTCTTAGGCCTAGCTTGGTATTATTGCCGTTTTGTGGAGGGTTTTTCATCTATTGCAGCCCCATTGACTTAATTGACTCAGAAGGGAGCTCCATTTAGGTGGTGAGACGAGTCTGGGGAGAGCATTCAGAAGCTCAAGACGGCATTGACTACATCTCCCATGTTGGTTTTGCCTTCAGGATTAGGTTCATATATGATCCATTTTGATGCTTTGTAGGTTGGTATTGAGTGTGTGTTGAGGCAGGACGGTAGGGTAATTGCCTACACGTTGCGCTATTTGATGCCCCATGAGAAGAACTATCCGGTGCATGATTTGGAGTTAACTGTTATTGCATACGTGCTTCAAATTTGGAGCCATTACTTATATAGAGTGTCTTGTTAGGTATATACGGATCACCGGAGTCTCCAGAATCTATTTAAACAGAAAGATTTGAATTCGAGGCAACGAAGATGGTTGGAGCTGTTAAAGGACTATGATATCATCATTATTTATCATTCGGGGAAGGCCAGTGTAGTGGTTGACGCCTTGAGCAGAAAGGCGGAGAGCATGGGGAGTTTGT